TATCTTAATTTTTTCATAAAATGACCTTTTTTGAAAAAATTACGTGATTAATGCTAAGGAAATGTACATTACTTAGAAAATACAAGTTATTAAATACCTTTCATTTTAATATTTTATTATGATCTGCTTTTGAGGCTTAAGAATTCAGTGATAATAAAAAATTTAAATGCATTTACAAGCAAGTGACGATCTTACATTTACTGTTGTTTATTCAGATAAGGTGCCCTCCTCTCCGGCAACGTAGAAAGGAGAATTCTACTTAGTGAAGGCCGCCTACGTTTTTTTTTTTTAAATACTCTGTATAGTACGGACTGAAGACATGATGTATATCAAATGAAAGCTTGTTTTATATCCTATTGGATTATGAAATGTTTGAATATGTCGCTGGCTATCAAAGATCGAAAGTGAAATTCGTATTATGAGCTATGCAAGCGTGTCGAAATTTTCGTTGAGTATCGAATTTTGCTTTCATTGGTGTAGCGAAGTGTTAGAAAATTGTGAAAAATGTATGATTTTGCATTTGTTTTCTTACTTTTTGGCGGCTAGATACTAATTTTTAAAAATTTTTAATCAGCCCAATTCTTAATACTCCCGGGGAGTTTGTTGTCCGGGAATTTGTTTCTCCCGAAAAAGAAATTCTCCAATAATTAGCTACCAGGGAGTAGAATTTTCGCCGAAAACTTGGGAGGCGCCATTTAATATAAAAAGTCCTGAGGGAATTTTTATTCATGATAGGAGAAAAGGGAAAAGAGAGAAAACTCCCAGGGAGTTTCTGTTCAGAATCGACCTGAATAATTTCATGCAGTTCTAACGTCGTAAATACTAAACACAAGCTCGAAAGTCTGGTTTTACTTATGAAAGAAAATCGCAATACGCTGTTGGCACGATCTCTGAGAACAAAATCATAGAGCTGTTTATAGTTTTAATATATTTTAAACAGATTTGGATCGCCAAAATTCCAGTCTGGCAGCACCAAGTTTGATGTTATTTTGCTTATTCATCGTTTATACGAAAACTTTAATAACAAATTATATTAAAACTATAGGGTTCCTAGAAAACATGGGGGGCCGCTGTGGTGTAGTGGTAAGCAGTGCGCGCTTCCACTCCGCAACGCCTGGGTTCAAACCCTGGTCAAAGCAACGTCGCAAAAAATATAGAAAAAAGGTTTTTTCTTAACAGCGGTCGTCCCTCGGCAGGCAATGGCAAACTTCCGAGTGTATTTCTGCCATGAAAAACAGCTTCTCATAAAAATACAATCGCCGTTCGGAGTCGGCGTAAAACTGTAGGTCCCTCCGCTTTGTGTGACAACATCAAGGCGCACACCACAAATCGGAGGAGAAGCTCGGCCAAACATAAAACTAACATATGTGTAAGCGCCAATCTATTATTATTATTATTTTTGAAATCAGGGAGTCCCATATTCTACCACAAAAATGTAGCAACTGCAGTTGTCAGTTGCCAGTTGCCATCTGTAATATCGTTTTGGTAACTAGCAACGCAACTGAAGTTCGATTGTTATCTATAATCGACCCATTATTTTTATATGGAAGAAACCCGCAACACCATCGGCGAAAAAAAATCTAAAAAATCAACGGTGATTTTTAGCCACTTGAAACTTGCACATTGTTAGACTACAATTGAATGGGCTATAAAACTGCGTACTCAAAAAAATCTAAAACTTCTGAGAAAAAAGTTTGAAATTTATGTGAACATTTTTTGTAGTCTTTTACAAAGTTTAAATTTTAAACTTTAAAACTTGGGTTTATATGGGTTTTGTTAGAGAATGAACTGTATTTTAATTGAAAATTTCTAAAAATAAATAAGTAAACATGAGTGGGAAACAATATGACTTTGAAAAGGGGTGTGCTATTACATTGGCCAATACTGTATCTTTCTTTTGATCGTATTGTGCTAATTATTTAATTAATAAAAAAAGGACAATGGAGGTATTGTGTAGGTGGTTGCCTCAGAGTTCGGAGGATTATCTTCTTCTTCTTCTTTTTTGGCGCAGTAACCGCCTAAGCGATTTTGGCCGAATTCAGCAAAGCACGCCAGTCGTTTCTCCTCTGTGCCAACTGACGCCAATTGGAAATGCCAAGTGAAGCCAAGTCCTTCTCCACCTGATCTATCCATCGCAGTGGGGGCCTCCATCTTCCTCTGCTACGACCAGCGGGTTCCGAGTTGAATACTTTCAGAGTTGGAGCGTCAGTGTCCATTCGAACGACATGGCCAAGCCAGCGGAGCCGCTGTATTTTAATTTATTTTAATTCGTTGCACTATGTCCATGTCGTTGTAAAGCTCATACAGCTCATCGTTCCATCGTCTGCGGTACTCGCCGTCGCCAACGCGTAAAGGCCCGTAAATCTTTCTCTCAAACACCCCAAGAGCCGCCTCATCGGATGTTGTCATTGTCCATGCTTCTGCGCCATATACCAGCACGGGCATGATGAGTGACTTATAGAGCGTGGTGTTCGTACGTCGAGAGAGGACTTTACTCCTGAACTGCCTACTCAGTCCAAAGTAGCACTTGTTGGCAAGAGTTATTCTGCGTTGGATTTCCATGCTGACATTACTATCGGTGTTAATGCTGGTTCCCAAGTAAACGAAATTCTCTACTTTCTCGAAATTGTAACTGTCAACAGTGACGTTGGTGCCAAGGCGCGAATGTGCTGACTGTTTGTTTGATGACAGGAGAGACTTCGTCTTGTCCTCGTTTACCACCAGTCCCATTCGCTTTGCTTCCCTATCCAACTTGGAAAAGGCAGAACAGACTTCGCGGTTTTTGTTACCGATGATGTCGATGTCATCGGCATAAGCCATCAATTGCACGCTCTTGTAGTAAATTGTTCCTGAGCGATTCAGTTCTGCAGCTCTTATTATCTTCTCCAACATCAGATTAAAGAAGTCACATGAAAGGGAGTCGCCCTGTCTGAAACCCCGTTTTGTGGCGAACGGCTCGGAGAGGTATTTCCCAATTCTGACGGAGCTGGTGGTATTGCTCAACGTCATTTTACACAGCCGTATGAGTTTTTAGGGGATGCCAAATTCAGACATAGCGGCATATAGGCATATATGTAATACTTCTATATTGGCAGTAATCTAACTTCTCAATGTGTAAGCATTCCGAAATCAAAGCGAGACAGTCTAGTACCGTTTTTGTCAATGTATTGTGTACTTGAGTGCCGTTTTTGTATGTGTTGTGTACATGTTTATTTATAAACGTATGTGTTCCTTTTCTTTCGTACGTGTTTGTTGATATATCTGTACTGTAGTGTTTTCGGACGGTACTAGCTCTTGCTGCCAATATAGGAGTATTACATATATGCGTATAGGCAACTCCTTTTAGTGCTGTTAAAAGCGGCTTTAAAGTCGACAAATAGGTGGTGAGTGTCGATCCTTTTCTCGCGGGTCTTTTCCAAGGTTTGGCGTGTTGTGAATACCTGGTCTATGGTGGATTTGTCAGGTCTAAAGCCGCACTGATAAGGCCCCATCAGTTCGTTGACGGTGGGCTTCAGTCTTTCACACAATACGCTCGATAAGACCTTGTAACCTATGCTTAGAAGGCTCATCCCGCGGTAGTTGGCGCGAATGGCGGGGTCATCATCCGTCATCATCGAATGCGGGCTCGGGTTCTTCTTCTCCACAACTTTCCGTGCTGCTACCATTTAGTTTGGCGGAAAAGTGTTCCCTCCATAATTTAAGTACGCTCTGGACATCAGTTACTAGGTCGCCATTATTGTTCTTACAGGAGTGCGCCCCGGTCTTTAAACCTTCCGTAAGTCGCCTAACTCTCTGGTAAAATTTTCGGGCATTTCTCCCGTCGGCCAGTATTTCAAGCTCTTCGCACTAACGTATTTCGGCCTCTCTCTTCTTGTTGCGGCAAATACGTCTCGCTTCCCTCTTCAGATCCCTATAGCGGTCCCACATAGCGCGCGTTGCGCCCGATTGCAGCGTGGCCCTGTATGCGCATCTTTTTTCTCTGCAGCTTCCTGACACTCCTCATCGTACCAGTTGTTCTTTCGGGCTCTACTTCTTCGGCGGCGGTACTTAATGAGCGGGAAATGTGGTTCCACTGCTCGCATATGTCGGTTTGTTGAAGAGTGCTCTCTGAGAGCAGGTGTGAGAGTCGAGTAGCGAAAGCGCTGGCTGTCTGTTGTGATTGCAGCTTTTCGACGTTAAGCTTTCCTTGCATATTTGGGCGCACATTTTGGTATGCAGTTTTGTAGCACATTCAATTCTAGTCTGAAGAAGTGCAAGTTTCAAGCGGCTAAAAAATTCCGTTGATTTTTGGCAATTTTTTTGCTGGCAGTGTCCTCCATATAAAAGAAAATTGTCGACATACTTTGTATAGAAAAAACGTGAAACACCTTTAACCAAAAAAATTCTCAAAAATCAACGGAATTTTTTAGCCGCTTGAAACTTGCACTTCTTCAGACTAGAATTGAATGTGCTACAAAACTGCATACCAGAATTTTTTCTAAAGATTCTGATTAAAAAGTTTGAAATTTGGGTGAAAAATTGCAAAATTTTTATAATTTTTATACAAAGTTTAAAATCTGAATTTATATGGTGTTTGTTGTATAGCCAGCTAGGCTTTTATAAAAAAATAATAAACATTAAATAAATAAAAGACAAATAGCCAAAACTGGTCAAAATATCGCACTCCTATTATTTTGTGGACAACTGTATGTGGGTTCCAACAGAGCATACAATTGAGAAGTGGTTAGAAAGCCTTCATTCAGCATTCCGCGACCGTAGATAAGCTCGAGGCGATAGAACTGTCTCGATTGAGTGAGACATGGCCTGCTACAACTTTTTCATGGGTGCGGTGTAACTTGATTGAAGAGTCTAGTTGATTCGGGGTAACCATTTGATGTTTTCATACCTACTTCGCATATTTGTTAAATCAAACCAAAAGGAAATTTAACTTCCACCTGTTGTGTTAATAGCAAAAAATTAGCCCAGGTTCATTCGCCCTCGAATTGAATGACTTGTTTTGATACATATATTTGTTTGATGTATTTATTTTTGCACATTTTAGTTACAGTTCATGCGTACTAGATTATACGTTGTCAGCATTGATCAGTAACTGCTAAAACCTTTATATATGTATGTATGCGTATATGTTGAAACTTTCTACTCTTCTTTAGTAAGTCCATAAAACGTATGCGCTAATCCTACGTTGTTTTTTTTTTTGTAATGCTCCAATAGTTTAATTTAGTTGTGTTTCACTAGAAATGTTTTATTTAAAATTAACTTATTTTGCTGTAGCAGTTTTCTCCTTCGCTTGTCCTGGAGTTGTTGCTGTTTTAGCGCTTGTCGCCACTTTACGTTGTTGTTTAGGTTTTGCTGGTGTTGCTTGCGGTTTAGTTTCCGCTTTTACTGCCTTAACTTCCTTGGTCGTCTCAGCTGCAGCTGGTGCTGCTGTGGGTGCGGGTGCCGGTGCCGGTGCGGGAGCTGGTGTTGGTGCTGCTGTTGCAGCTGCAGGTTCCTCTTTCTTCCCGTTTACTTCCTTAGCTTTAGGTTTTTCACTACAATTATAGTAACTAGTTATAAAATACGTTTTTAAATAATATATGCGTTTTTACGCTCACCTTTCGATATCAATATTAAGTACCGATTCATCTTCTTCTTCGTCATCACGATCCTCTGGGCCAACTTCACGTAATAAATCACCCAAATCCTTATCAACATCTTCCCAGAGTTTATCTTCACCAACTTCCCCACCTTCGTCACCATTCTCATGTCCATTTTCCTCGGCGGCATCTTTGTTCTCGTCCTCGTCACCATCGGCCTTTTCTTTCTTGGTATCTTTCGCATCTTTTTCGCTCTCTTTTGCTTCCTTTGCTTTAGCTTTCTTAGCTGCTTTCTCCTCTTCTTCCTTATTACGCAAGAACGCTTTGAGATGTGAGCGTAAGAGACAATGTTTCTTAGCATACGCTTCCACCGAGTCACTTGCGACTGAATAATGATTGCAGAGCTCACAGAAGTAGGCATCTACCTTCTTTATAAATGATGCGCCGACAGGTTGACGTTCTTTGCTGTTCTCTTCACCATCCGTACCGCCTTCACCTTCATTTAAAAGGGCGTCCACATCCAGGTCATCGATTTCGTCAATTTCGCCTACCGAATCGACTGTTAGAAACTTGTTCAGATCTATTTCGCGAGTATCCTCATCACTGTTATCACTATCCGAATCACGTTTGCGTGCCTTGCGCTGAAAAGGGAAGTGAATAGTAGAAAAATGTAAACGACTAATGCAGTGAAGAATCAATCATCTTCGAGGAGATATTCAGCCTTATCATAAGCTTAATTTTCGACAGAAATCGGTCACTTTTCGCTTCCATGTAATCACTACGGGTGGTTGAAAAAAAAAATTTAGGTGAATTTGTTTTCGGTAGAAACTCATGATAAGGCTGATTGTGTTCCATTTAAAAAAAATGCCATTATAACTTAAACTTGAGCTATACACATTTTTTTTATTGACTTGTATGTATTCTTCTTCTAATCATACTTTTACCCATAAGAGTGGAGAAGGAATTAGCACAAAAAATTATCAATGATGAATATTCATATAATATAAAAAAATCCTAATTCCGTCGGTTTTCTCCCAACAACCCACTTCCCTAAAAAAAAATTGCATGCGAATTGTTGCTACATCCATAGAAGTAATACTCACTTTTAAGTGCTCCAATGAGCAACGATGAGTTTCATAGAGCATTGGACTCTTGAATGCCAAATGACAAGTGGAGCAATAGGGCATTAAGAACTTCTTCATAGTCTTATGATGCTCCGACAATTGATGTTTTGCCTTAGGTTGGCGATAGTGTAGACGACACAGATGACAGAACTTGGATTCGTATTCTTCCTTCGAGTTCTCTTCGATTTCGCGTTGTGCAGCACGCTGGCGAGCGCGCAGACGAAGCAAATGTGCCTTTTGTTGAAGTGAGATTTGACGTATTGCACTCTTATGAACGCGCGAGTACAAATGCTGTTGGTAATCCTGTAAAAGTTTAGGAGTTAATTTTAGAAATTTTATATGCAATTAAATGATGCTTTAAAATAGCTCGCGGTTATGAGAAGAACAAGTTTATAAAGTTTAGCTATTGCAATTCCTTAATGCTTTTACAAACAATAGTTATGGGAACAAAGTTACCATAGGAGAGTTCGTTCTCACGAAAGTCGGGTCTACGTAACTGGAACGACCCAGATTTATGTATGCGCTTATATCTGGCCAAGGACCGTCACTCCAGCAAAACTCTTTGTGGAATTTGTATGCTGCTACAACAACAACCATAGGAGTGTTCTCGTATTATACGGTCAAACTTATCCTGCAGCCAGTGTTGGCAGATTTCTTTTTAAACAGTAAATTTCCAGTGAAATAGCTGTATTTTCGACCAAAAAACTGTAACTTTCAAAAACGAAGTTTTTTAAAAACTAAGGTTTTGTTTTATTTTATTTAACATAAATAAAAAATAATTCAGTACATAAAATGAAATACCTTAGACCGTTTAAATTATACCTAACTAAACAAAAAACGGCTTCATAAAATGGAAGATTATAATCACATTTCGTTTTAATGAATTCAGTTTCACTATTTTTTGTAAATTGCTTTGTTTTTTTTTGGGAATTTCAAACTTAGTACCCACCTGAAGGATTTTTTTTTTAAAGAAATCTTTAGTTCTCAAAATACCAGAAAATGCTGAAATTTCTAGTTTATTTTTTGTGTTATTCAAATTGATTTGGGAAAATACTCTCTCCACATTTGCTGTGGCGACTGGAATGCAAAAGGACCATTTGTTCCACATGAGGAAACTCTTCTCCAGCTAAAACTATGAATCTGGCAACTGTATTGATTTCCTTAGCTAACAACCACCACACTTCTATATTCAAATATCATACAGACAAATTCTTTCAGTCTGCCTTCTTGAATTAAAATGTCGAAAATAATTATTATTTACGATCCCTGCTTTATGTTGTGCTAAAAGCATAAGGCCTGTCAACTTCTCTCAAACCATGTCATTTCTGGCCTTATTTGACTTCAAATGGCACTTAATTTTTTAATTTGGCACAAAGTGTCAAGATAGTATATTTGAAAAATAGTAATATTTCAGCACATTTTTGTGAAAACTTTTGCGTGTATGTACCTCTTTTTCCCAACTAAAATTTTCTTATTTCTGAAGTTTTTACAACTATTTTGTCTTATTTTGGCACTGTACTTTTATTTTAGTAGAATGGCACCTTCTTTGGCTATTTTACTTTTCTATTTGATACATTTTTATCAATATGACAGCTCATAGCTAAGAATAGTTAGAAGCCCTGAAAAGGCTACAAATTCCCCAAATTCATTATTGTCTTTAATAACTTTACTCCCCTTTATCATTGTATTCTAGCATTGGTTATAAAATTTGCAAAAAAATATTGAAAAATCCCAAATTTTTTATTAACGAACATGACTATTCCGATTGTTGGAACAACAATCGCTCGTCGAAATTTGAGATTTTCATTGGCGTTTTGAGGCAACCAATGACGTATTCTCCTACAAATTTTTGTTTCTATTATCCTTTCGAAATGGATAAGTATTGAAAACGTGTTAAAATCTGTCGTTAATGTTTTTATTTACGACATAATTCAGCGAACTACTTACGACAACCAGAATAAGGGTGAATAGTTGAAAAGTTTTGCCAGGTACAATATTTTGCAGGGGAAATTTGCAGCTTCTCCTGAAAAATAATTGCGACTTTTCTATCGATTTCCTATATTTTGCAAGTTTTTCGGCACTGAGAACGCAAAAACTGTGATAGTATGCTGCGATTTTGGACAATCTCTAATACGAGAACGCTCCTAGCATCGCACACCTAGACCTAAAGAGAGTCAACTCAAAATTCAGAGAGCGAAATATAACTGCTGGTGGATCGTACAGATTCAACGCAATAAAAAAAAAAACAGGTATAACGGTAGTTTTTTAGTTAATGTATATAATTTCATTTCATTATCATGAAGAAAAAACTATTCGCATTAATTGCATGTGAATCCTATGAATTGATTTATGCAAAAAAATCGCCATACATTTTTTTTGAGTTGATCGCACTTTAGACTAGGTGTGCGATATCATCGTATACAAGTGCGCTCAGATTTAAAAATGGGAATGCAACAATCAGCGCCATAAAAAGCATGCATAAATACAACCAAAATAGCGAAAATTTAGATACAAAACTGACATTTAATTTTAATGAGAAGCTATTTTCCGCTGGAAACAAGAAAAACAGCTGATCAAAGTCAAATGTTTGCAATTTATGAAATTAATGTAATTTATTTTGACGATTTTTACGTTTAGAATCAGGGACAAAAAATAACCGTTATCTCGAATTTACAAATTGAAAACGTTGCGCGAATTCTGAAATTTAACGAAAACGTTGTTTCATAAGTTATTAGAAGAAAAATATTTTTCGCCGATAAGAGTTAAAGCCCAAGGTTTAATTTTTACGTTGCTTGATAACAGTTATTGTCCAACATTTATTTTTTACGTTGCTTGATAACAGTTATTATCCAACGTTCATTTTTTACGTTGTCTAATAAACGTTGCAAGATAAGAATATTAATGAAACCGGAGATGCAGAAGATAAATATGATGAAAATAAAAGGAGTGGAATAACTTCTACCAGACAAAGTCAATCATTGGATAATAACTGTTATCAAGTGAATGTTATAAAAAATGCAAAGTAACTCTTGCCGAGCATTTCTCATCAATGTCCCTCACTTCTTAATTTTAACATTCCTCATAACCAATCCCTACGGACTTAACAAATACAACAAGTGCACATAACTTACCAAAAATCCGAAGCAGTTCATGTGACAGTGAATGCACTTCAAGTTGAGACGCCCAGATGTGCCTGATTTGTAATCATCACGTCGTGAACTGTGCGACTTCTTTTCCTTCTTCTCTGAATCATCTTCACTATGGTCGTCCTTCTTGCGCCTGTCCTTGCTCTCTTTACCCTTCTCCTTGTCCTTCTTGGAGGAGGACGATGTACTTTTTTTGGATTTCTCCTTCTTGCGATCGTCATCATCCTTCTCCTTCTCTTTCTTCTTACCTTCTTTCTTTACCTCTTTCTCACCACCCTCCTTCTCTTTATCAGCCTTTGCTTCACCTGCTGTCCCTTCGGTTTCACCATCACCACCTTCTTCTTCATCATCATCATCATCATCATCCTTATGATCATCAGTTTCCGCTGATGAATCCTCACCCTTTTTACTCTTCTTTGCCGACTTTATTTCCTCCTTACTCTCGTCGCCCTCGTTATCTTCATCATCGTCGTCATCACCATCATCTTCCCCAGCTTTTTCGGCATCATCACCCTTATCCGAAGACTTGGCCCGCTTGCTGCTGCTACGTTTCGAAGATTTCTTCTTAGTTTCGGAGTCACTCTTGCTATCATCCTTATCGGTGTCGTTGTCTTTCTCATTATCTTCCTCTTCATCTGATGAATCGTCCTTCTTGGTTCGAGAACGTCGTGGGCTCTTCGAATGACGCACTATCCTACGACGACGTAATGAGCTAGGTTTTGTAGCGCAAACGCAAAATTTGTATATTAATTGATGAACAAAATTAAGTGGTACTTTCTGATGCTATAAGTTTTTTTTTTGTTTTGTTTGTTACAAAATGCTTCGAGTGGAAAAGGTCAATCAGCTGCTATTGTTTTTTTGGATTTTGCATTGTTTACACAAATCCATCGAACATACGCGGCTCTCGTTTTTAAGCTGTTGCATATCATTGCCACTTTGGGTAGTCAAGACAGATTCAAAGAGCAATGTATTCAGCAGTTTACATAGGTTAGAAATGCAAAGAAACCCCGGCCAGTAATAAGCATTTCAAAATAAATGCTTTCATCTCTGATCTATAACAACGTCTGTTGTAAGAGGAGTTCCTCATAATTTATGCGTCGAAAACGTAGTTATGTATGCATATCGAATTATTTGTAGTGTCTGTTTGAAAAGTATAAACTCAGAATATAATAAGCTTACAACCAAACCCAAACCATACACGTTCACATTTCATATTATCCTGCTTAAATCGACTTCACATTTTTGCGTTTCTTTTATTTCCATTTAGTTGATACAACAAATATCAAGTCCTTTTACTCAGCCTCAAGACATTTTCATACAACACAACTCAATTAACTCAAGTCAACTCAAATGCAATTATGCAGTTTCTTCTGTTTTTTTTTTCTAATTACCTTGTTAGGCGCTGTATTTTTAATACACGCGCACGATCTTTTTGTTGAGCATACAACAGCTTTCGGCGCATAATGCGCAAATCGTTCGCTTCATTCCGGTTGTTGCGAATGATGCGCACACCGCCCCTCAGCATAGTACTGCGCATGCCACCTCGATATGACGAGATATTACCACGAGCTCTTGAAATGTAGCCGGTGCGCATGGGACGCTTTTGTATGCCCATTGGAGAACGGTGACGGCTGGTATTTGCATTGGAGTCATCTCTATCATTCCGGGAATTCGCACCACGATATGAATTGCTAGATGTATTAGCCCCACCAGTACTACGATAGTTCGATGCGGATGCTGATGAGACCATTGGTGGTGGAGGCGGCGGTGGCGTGCGATTACCACGTCCGGTTGATGAGTTGCGTCGATAGTCCTGTTGACGATGATGAGGATTTTTTTGGTTTTATGTATTCTTACAGAATTAACTATACACGGTTTTGAGCACTTATATTCTGTCAATTTAGTATTTAGATTTTTGTGTAGGTTTAACATGAGTTTCTATTTTATATTGTTTAGGAATTGGGTAAAAAGGGGAGGTATCAATGCGGCATTGGCAAATCTCCTAAAAAGCTCTTCGAGACAATAATATTAAGATATAATCGATATGGGAATCGTCGCTATCATCTTCAGATTGTACTGTTCTATTAATTTTGTAATTGTAATTGGACAGCAAAATGCATCGGAGGAATTGTTTACCTCTGCAGTTGTTCATAGCTCAATATGAATACATATACATATGTAATACTTTATTTACTCTCGATATTATCATCTTCAATTCTCGGCGTTTATCTCGAACGCAATGAAATTCATATAATCGACGTTCATAATGGCGGCGCTGCTCTTTAATCAAAATGTGCGACCAAGAGCCTTATCAGTGCCTCAGTATGCTAGGTCGAAATCGTGTCAACTCTGCCACACAGCACTTGCAGAGTTTCTCTCTGTGTACATACTCTGTTTGCTTTGGTGGCAAAGTTATAAAATGTTCTCAATCGATTGTTGCGAATGGCATATATATTTTTGGTTCACGCCTTTCGAAATTCGACCTTTCTAAATATATTTCTATTCGTGCATAAATATATATAAAATATCAATGTTAATAGGTAAGATTATACAACTAAAAGGGAATATTGTAAACTCCCTGGTCAAAGTATTTCTTATTTATACCTGCTTCAATTAACATATTACTTACATCTTGTCGGGAACGCTTCCTATCATCATTACGATCGCGAGAAGTATCCTATAAAAATATATTTTTTTTATTAAAGCATATTGAAATGGCGAACAATTGATCGCTCTATATACATATATATGTATGTACATAGAGTGAATCCAAAAATTTTCCAGCAATTTTTTAACAAAATTCACAAAAAGCCGTAACTAACATCGTCGGTGAAATGCAAAAAATTTTAACTAATATATAACTCAAAATTCACTGTTTTATTGTCAGTATGAATTTCATCGAATTGAAACTTCATAAATTTTATGCAAAAACCAATTTATAAGTGACGACTTTTTGCATTTCAGAGACGATGTTACTTAGGCGTTGTTTCATTTCAGGTGACGATGTGCTTATTAGGTTTTTTTTGCGTTAGTTTTGTATAAATATATGGCTTATTGCATAAGATGCACGTAATTCAAATTTTCAAACTTAGTACAAAATTTAGAAAGTAAACTTTTTATTGACGAGATCAAAGAAAATGAGAAAGACCATCAGAAATAAAAATTATTAAAAAGCAACCGTAATGTTGATCAACATAAAGCGTGCTCTTTTTTATATTAAATTTAATTATGTTAAAATTAATTATGTATACCAAAATTTTATTTTTTTTATTTTGAAACTTCGAATTGTGTGTTTTATTATAGTATTGAGACATATTTATATACCTATGCGTATATTGTTAAAATATTACTGCCAAAATTTTATCGATTAACTCTACATACAGTGCCGCACTAAATTAATGCCACAGGGAATTTTTCACAATATTATACGCAAAACTTTTATATAAATTTAGTTCATACTAAAACAAAATATAATTAAAAATTCTTAACTTTTTGCAAAAATTTAGTAAAATTTAAAGAATTTGCATAAAGTTCCATTTTTTTTTTTTTAACAGACCATTTAGTTTCAAGTATATCAAAGTCCAAGTTTAAATGTGGCAAAAAAACCCCAAAAATGTATGGCAATTTTTTCACGCAGTTTCTTCCATACAAAGAACGTCCGACAATATTTTAACCGACTTCACAAAGAGAAGATGGGTATCAATTTATCGGAATATTTCTGTGTTCATATGGAATAGTAGCTTATGTATGCTTTAGTATAATGCGGCATTCACTATAACCTTTAAACAAGGAATTTGATGAGACTTAATAAGAATATTGACGTGCTAGTATCGGAACTATTTCTTGCACGTTTATTTGCCAAAAGTTCTTCAACGGGTTGGCGCCAGTGAGTCATTCGCAATCGTATGCTGCGAATGCTGCATATGAGAATTGAAGTCAGTTTTTTGCCTAAAAATTACATGTTTTATAAAAAAATAACAGAAATTTTTAGTAAATTTCTTTTTGAATATAATGTCGCCCATATGCCAGAAAACCCCAATAACTCAAAGCTGATAAATTTGCACGTTCATGCTTCTGGCATGAGGGGACGACACGTAAATGCATGTGTTGTAAAAAATTCCCTGTGTCAATAATTTAGTGCGGCACTGTATGCATGTGTGTATGCAATCATAAATGTGAGGACACATAAGCAGACTTAGCATATGTATATTGGGAACTTACACGATAATTCCTCTTGTGCCCCGAATCATGACGACTTCCACCAGTAGAACTATTATTGAAGCGATCCCTGGAACGATCATAGTGGCCGCCGCTACCACTGGCACCAGAATTGTAGTTGTTATAACGAGAATTGCCACCACTACTATTGTAGCTATGGTTGTAGCCATCCCGACCACCAGACCTTCCACCAGAATTTTGCATGCGCCCATAATTATTACTGCGGTAATTACCGCCACGGCTTGAGCCAGAGCCGCGTGAAACGTATCCACCTCGTCCGCCACGCATTTTATAAGTACTAAAATTGAAATTTTGCTTTAGTTCCAACAAAATGTGTATATACCCATATTTTATTCGCATAAATACACACAAACATAGGTATGTATGTATATATAAAAGGTACAGTCTTTACAGATAAAGTGCAACCCGCTAACCCCTACTGTGGACTACGAACCGGCTTCCAAAAGCGAGAAAAATCGATGGCACGAGGCGATGCAAAGGCTTCTAGCATATTCTTGCATAATACTTACACTTTCGTTCTTATTTCGCTTTCCTTTTAGAAATTTCACTCGCGTTTTACTCTGAACACAATTAAATTAATTAACAGTTGTTCTTTATCATTATTTTACACAAATTTTCAGGAGCTAAAATCTTTCTCACAATGGCGTCTGAAAATTTTAGCGAAGTAGAAAGAATCGGAGCTGCACCTGAATTTATCGATAACTGCTAAACGGAAGAAACCGAAAGTGGTGCCATTTCGTAGCGCGCCATCTATTAGTTGAGTAGTTAAGCATTTAATGAGTTGTGAGAAATTTATGTGCTGTCTACACGTTCTTATGCTTTCTGTGAATATCTTTATTGACATTTCCCCCGCTGAATACGAACGTCAGAATTCCATCTAGCTCATGGGGCTAGCCCATGATTCAATAATACAAGGTTGTGTAATTTTTGGCAGCTAAAATTGTTCACTCCTTTATCTAGATTTGTATTTTGAAAGTAGGAGAAAGGGGAAGAATGTGATCGCCTTTTGCGAAAACGGTAGTAGAAAGGTACTACAAAAAGTACGCAAAGTATACAATTAGAAGTAAAGGTATATTATTAATTCTACGCGAATTTGCAATATATTTGGTGTTCTAATGGAAATAGTAAACAATACGTCGAAATATGCTTTTTTAATTTCAGTTATTCGTCATTTGCTGGAAGAAATCTAGAATACCGACCGTTCAGCTATGCAAAAACGAAAAATGCAGATCACCACCAAGATAATTGATTTGTCTTCAGCTGATGCACATAATTTATAGCTTTTTGTATTTTTAAACCAAAACCACTAAAAGACGAACAAATATTATTTTTTCATGAAATAACCTTTTTTGAAAAAACTGCATAATTAATGGTAAAGAAATAAATATTATTTGGAAAGTACAAGTTGTTACCTTTAATTCGATATTACATATTTTGTCATTATCTACTTTTGGGTTTCAATAATTTAGTGATAATCAAAAATACAAAATAATAAAGTAAATAAACGTCTTATATCTTCTTTATTTATTACCTGCGCCGAATAAATTTGGTATCGTTCAAATCAGCGTAAAAAGTTCTATCAATCGGTATTTTTGGTTATTTTATCGCTAAACGAAGGTGATGCTCACGAATACTTAGTATGAAGAATTTTTGGTTTTACTACTTATATCATTAGAAACTGTAGAGTAAGCAACATTCTGCACAAGTAAAGGAGCCGATTTTATGTGTGGGAGCGAGAAGACTGTTTAATTACAAAACCTTTCTATTATTGAATCATGGGGCTAGCCCATAATAAAAACATGGTAAGGTAAAACCGTTCTCTCAATTCGTCGGCCATGATTTTTTTTTGAAGTTTACCAACATTTTAAAATCATACAAAATTGAGAGTAAAAAAAAAATTGTTTAAGATTGAAAATGAGAATGTGTGTGTGAGTTTGTGTGTAAAATTTTAAAATTAAAGTGCTGGCAAACGTCAAGAATTTGAAAAATTCCTCTCAGCGGTTCTACCTTCCTATATTTTTATCATGGGGCTAGCCAAGACGGATAGAATTCAAGATTGCACATTCCCGGCGGCGATCTCATTTCTCGTGCAAAAGCAAACAAAGCCGATGAGGAGGATAAAAGAAAATGTCCGAAGAGTCAGTTATTTTAACATTCCATTTTTCGATAAGAGACGTGTTTTAATTGCTTTATATTGTAAAAATATGAGTTGTAATAAAAATTCATTAAGAAAATGTAAAAAAAAACTGTGCTTTTAGTGAAGCTATTAGTGAATTACAGTGCATTTAAAGTTTAAGAGGGGTCATTTGCTTATACACGAGAAATGTCAAAATCGGCAAAACCAAAGTAGCGGCAGAGAACGTATATTTATAGAGAAGGACCAAGAACGAATCAGCGTGGAAACTGTCAAATACCAACAAAACTGGCGAAGCGCATTTTAAGAGCGGCAAGCCAGAGACAATCGAATTTTAACAGAGCCCAGCCAGAAGCAAAATAAATTTAACAGAAATTGTCTCATCAAAGCAAATGCATGTTTTTCTTGTTAGACGCGAAATGCTGACGGCTTTTTACGTTTTTACAAAGCTTTTATTGTTCTTTAAATTGGTTAATTATTTAAAATAAATGCATGCATAGGTCGAAATATATAATATGTACATATTGTGTACATGCATATGTATGCGAGAGATACAATTTTGTGAACCTAAAAAGTGAAAGTTATGCAAATATGTAGTATGCAATTGGCAAATTCGTGGGTGATTTGCCGTCGGCATTTGAGTTGAAAAAAATCGACTTTTATTTTTTTACCGATTCATATGGTAGATGCTACGCTATTTTCAACGCAACAAACCGCAGTTTTCTAGCTGCCTTAGTTTTTCCCCAAATTCACTTTAAAGATGGACACATTGACCAAAAAACACAAATGCGCACTGATGTCGGCATTAAAAACGAAGAAAATCGGTTTTTATATTTTTAACGATATGGTAGCTAATAGGTACGCTGTCCTCAATGCAACAAACTGCAGTTTTCTAGCTGCCTTAGTTTTCTCACACATCCACTTCAAAGATGGATACATTGTCAAAAAACGTACAAATGCATTGATTGCACTGCACGTGTTAACTTCAAAGTTGTTTTTGTCGAAAAGTTATTTATATTGAGAAAAACTGTGCATTATCATTTTTCACTGCTATATTCGTATTATATGTAAATAATGGGGCATATGCATAGTTAAAATAAAGCCGACACTAAAGTTAGTTACAGCTTTTTCATATCACTTTCAGTGGACTAGGCATCTGTGAAAAAAAAGATGCAACTAACTTTCTTCTTATTTGGGACTGACAAACTTAAACTTAGAGTAGACTTTATTTCATATACGAATGTGCCCCAATAGTTTTGGAGTCAAATGAAAATGCATTTCCCCATGCATATGTATGTACATACGTTCTCCATTAACTGATAAAGTTTTTACATGCATACATATATATTTATGTATGTGCATATTACTGCCAAAATACTACGCACATACACACAAATGTACATATTTACAACTCACGGCAGCATACATACATATGCACATAATTACGCGCATACTCAAATACAACAATAACTATTTCTTTCATAAACGCATGCGCGCATTTCTCAAGGCCAAGTAAATTCATTCATAAAAATAACCGCAGCACATCTCCCCGCAAATTCATCACCAACAAGCGCAACTTTGTCAATCCGACACAAAAATTCTAAAATCTTAAAATGAAGAAATCTCGGCCAGCCAAGTGAAAATTGGCAATTATTTCTCTATATCCAGTAAAATAAGTTATCTCGAATCTTGGCAATTTTTGGTAATTTTTGGTAATTTTTGACAAAACACTCTATTTCTCTGTTCCATACCAATATTTCAATCATTAACTAGTATTTTAAAGTGTCATCTTAATAAACATTAAATAAAAGTGTATGTTTTCTGCAGCAAAATACATTAATGTTTTTTTAATAAAATCAAAACTTGTAAAATCACAAACATATGTGGTTTTATCGGAAGTTCACAGATGTAACGTGGCAACTTGGCTCGTTTTCATATTTTTCGGTCCGAAATTGTAAAATTTTTGTCCATGCCGCGCCACAAATTTTGTACAGGTGGGTCAATGTGCCTTGAACAAAATTTATATATATATACAAAAAAAATATTTTATTTATTTTTTAATATTAAAAATTTCTATACTTCCAAGCGTTTATAAAAATATATTTACATATATGCACGAACGATTTTTAATATTTTTCATCCCTAAGCAAATCTTCAGTACCATAAAAGATTCAAACACATCAAAGTACAAGCAATGCAATGTTCAACCTAGTGCTACTCCACTGTACATGTGTATATGAATGTATGCATGTATGCGTGTAAAAAATGTCAATTCCAGTTGGTCTTTAACCCATTAAGCGGACATAGTTTTTTTGGTTTCAGCTGGTTGCAACTGTTAATGAAGCACAATTTTTATGTTTAATCTTTATGAAAGTTACATGTATCGTCGAGAACATGGTTACATGCAGAATTTTAAATTAATTAATATTATTCACCATACAAAATGTACGAGTATTGCTTTATTAAATGCAAACTTATGCGAAAATCTAAATATTTCGCAAACATGGGGTTAATGGTTTCGCGCACGTGCCAATCTGGTGGCGATTCGCAGAAATTGAATAATTTGTGTCGATGAAAGCGGCGCGGGGATGACGAAAGCAGAACAATCGTGTATATGTATGTTTATATGTACATTTATAAATGCATACATACTTACATTTTCATTTGTTTGTCTTTTTGGATGCATGAAAAATTTGGTAGGAGAAATATTTATTGAAATGAAGTTTACAAATATGTGCTTTATAAATTTAGGTTTAGTTATTAATAAATTAGATATGTAAATGACAATGTAGGGGACAAATAAGCACATGAGTAGCGAAGCTGCGACCCATCCAATGGCAACTTCTTGCACTAGAAAATATTTGAAAACTGCATTATTTCC